ATGGTCTTCTGCTCTCCTGACACACCTTCCTTTTGCCCGCAATAGGCTTTCTCCTCTCCTCCAATGCCTTCCCTCTTACTGAAGGCTAACAGGAAGTCTGGTGCAGACAGAGAGGAGGTGTGGTGTGGGAGGTGAGCAGGCCAGAAGTAGGCAGCGGGAAGGTGTGGGAGGCTAGCAGGAGGCCCTGTCAGTGTAGACTGAAGGTGTGGGGGACCACAACAGGCCAAGGTTGTAGCACAGGGAAGGTGTGGGATGTGTGGAAAACACTGGGACAGAGGACACAGAAGGTGTGGAGGCCAGCATTTGACCTGGTTGCAGGAGGTAGAAAGTGTGGGAGTCAGTGAGGACTCCCAGTAGAGGACACAGAAGTTTTGGGAGGTGAGCAGAAGGCCTGGCTTTGGAAGGCAGAAGGTCTAACACACAAGCAGAAAGTTCCATTGCACAAGCATGGTGTGGGAGCTGAGCAGGAGGCATGGTCAGAGGGCTGGAAGTCAGTCGGAGACAAGACAGGGGAAAGACCTGGGTGTACCTAAGGTATTGCCAGCCAGCGGACGGCTGGGGTGGAGGAGAGGATAAGTGTTGGAATCTTGCAGGAGGCTTGTCAGGGGGCCACCGAAGGTGAATGAGCAAAACAGAAGACCTGGTCAGAGAAGACCGAAGCTATGGGAAATGAGCAGAAAGACTAGAGAAGTTGCAGCAGGGCAGCAGGGTTCTTGGACGGGAAAATGAAAGGATTGGGAGAAGAGCAAAAGGCCCAGCCATGGAGACTAAAGGTGATAGGCACAGGCAGAAATCTGGGCTGCAGAGGGATGATGTACTAGGCAAGCAGAGGTTGTGGTCAGAGGACAGGAAAAGTGATGGTGACAGGCAAGAGGCCAGATAAGATGATATGGAAGGTTTGAGAGTCCCTGGGATTGCCCAGTTGCAGGAGGTGCAAAGAATGAAGCACGAGGCCAGGTTAGGGGAAGACAGAACAAGTCGGCGATGAGAAGACCAGGTTGGAGCAGATGGAAGGTGAGGGAGAAGAGCCAAAGATCAGTTTGGAGCAGACCGAAGGTCAAGAAGCTGAACAAAAATGGTGGTCTCAGGAAATGGAATGTGTGGGAGGCCAAGAGAAGACCAGTTTGGAGCAGACTCAAGGTGTGAAAGAAGAGAAGACCAGGTCACATGAGATGGAAGGTGTCGGAGGCTAGTGGAAGACCTGGTCCTGGAAGAGATGAGGCATGGTGTGGGAGGGCAGAGGAACACCCAGTTGGGGCAGACGGAAGATGTGGGACTCCAAAGAAGACCAGGTCCAAGCAGGTCGAAAGGGTGGGAGTTGCGCAAAAGACAATGTCAGAGGATATGAAAGCTGTCGTAGATCACCAGATGGCCTGAATGGGAAGAGAATCGGTGACAAATACCAGCCGAAGGCCTTGTCAGGGAAAAGGGAAGAAGTGGGAGCCTAAAAGTTCTGCTCAAAGGGAATCGGAGGTGTCAGAGGCCAGCTGCCGGCCTGGGTAGAAGAGAAGGAAAGTGTGGGGGTCCATGAGGAGCTTGGTGGGAGGACATGGAAGGTGTCAGAGTGGAGCAGGATGCCCTGTGATGGCAGATAGGAGGAGTTGGAGGTCAGGAAGGGGCCTGGTAGTATGAGATGGAAAGTTTGGGAGTCAAGCAGGAGGCTCTCAAAGTGAGAAAGAAGGTGTTGGAGCACAGCAGAAGACCCAGTCGGAACAGAGGGAACGACTGGGAGGTGTGCAGAAGGACTAATCCAGTGAGAGTGAAGGTGCGGGCCTGGAGCAGAAGTCCACCTCCTGACTGAGGGAAGGTGTGGGAGGACAGCAGGAGGCCCAGTCAGGGTAGAAGGAACGTGTGGCAGACCAGCAGGGGATCCGGTTGCAGCAGGTGGAAGGGATGGGGGATGCGCAAAGGACCAGGTTAGAGGATCGAGAATGTGTCCCTGGCCAACATGTGGCCCGTTTGGTGGAGACAGAAAGTCTGGGAGTGAATGAGGTGTCCTGCACAGAGGACACAGAAGGTTTGGGAGGCGAGCAAAAGGCCTGGCGGCAGACAGAGAGAAGCTGTCGGAGGCCAGAAGAAGGCCTGTTCAGAGGACAGTGAAGGAATCAGAGCCAAGCAGGAGTCAAGATGAGAGGAGAGGGAAGGTGTTGGAGGCCAGCCGAGTGTCCCGTTGGAGGAGACAGAAAGTGTGCGAGTCCTGCAGGAGGCTCTTAGGCAGAGAGAGGGAACCTGAGGGAGCCCATGTCAGAGCAGACTGCAGGTGCGGGAGGTAAACAGAAAGACAGGTCGAGGTGTGAGAGGGGAGCAGGGGGCCTGGTGGGGACAAAGGACAGGTGTGTGAGCTGAGCAGAAGGCCCGTTGCGGGGAGATGGAAGGAGTGGGAGGCTATCAGAAGGCCAGTCCTGGTGGAGGCAAGGTGCGGGAGGCGAGCAGAAGAGCTGGTCCTCTGCTCATCTCCCACCCTTTCTCTCTGCCTTGACTGGGCCTCCTGCTGTCCTCCCACACCTTCTTTCTGATCTGACCAGTCATTCTGCTCACCTCACACTCCTCCCGTCTGCTTCCACTGGGTCTTCTGCTCAGCTCCCACACCTTCTGTCTCCTCACAGGAGGCCTCCGTCTCGACTCCCACACTTTCTGTCTCGTCCAACCAGGACAACTGATGGCCTCCCAGACCTCCCTTTCTCCAGGCAGCAAGCTTTCTGCTCACTTACCGCACATTCCATCTTCCTTCACAGGTGTTCTGCTCCACTAGAACCTACTCATTACCAACCACCTTGTTCCTGCTTTACTCCCACACTTTCCTTCTTCTCCAAGCATGCTGGCTGCTGTTTTTCCCCACCTTCCATACCCTTTGACCAGGACTTCTTTGGGGTCCCCATTTCTTCCCTCTATCTTCAATGGGATTTTGGCTGGTCTCTGACACCTTCCTTTTACACCATCCAGGCCAAGTGCTGTCCTCCGACACCTTCCATATCCTCTGAGATTGTCTTTTGCGTGGCTTCCACACATTCCATCTCCTGTGTTATGGTCTTTTTCTCACCTCCCACAACTTCCTTCTGCCCCAACCAGGTGTTCTCTTCCCCTCCCACACCACACCTTCTCTGTGTCCGGATCAGGTCTTCTGCAAGCCTCCCACATTTTCCATCTCTTATGACTTGGTCTTCCGTTCTCCCACACCTTCTTTCTGCTGCAAACTGGTTTTCTGCTCTGCTCCCACAACTTCGATCTACTCAGTCCTGGTCTTCTTCTCAACTCTAATGCATTCTGTTTACTTCTGAAGGAGCCTCCTAACAGACTCCCACACTTTTTGTCTCCTCCAACCAGGCTTTAGCTGGCCTGCAACAGCTTCTGTGTCCACTGATCTTGCCTCCAGCTGCCTCCAATACCCTTCCTGTCCTCTCCCTGGGCCTTCTGCCCCACGCCTCACACCATGCCTCTTCAATGGATCTTTCTGCTTGCATTTCTGTCTGCCTCAGTAAGTCTTTGATCTCCTCCCAATGATGCTGTGTTCCCTGATGAGGATGTCTGATGGATTCCTACACTCTCTCTCTTCCAACCAGGCCAAATGCTGGCGTCCAGCACCTTCTATATTCTCTGACCTGGTCTTTTGCTTGCCTCCCCATCTCTCTTTATACTCTGACCAAGCTCTTGCTTTAGTCCCACACTTTCCTTCTGCAGCAAGGCCTGCTGCTGGCCTCTGACACCTTCCATATTACCACGGCTTCTCTGGTCTCCCATTTCTTCCTTCTGCTCTCACTTGGTCTTTGACTGGGCTCTGGCACCTTCCTTTTCCTCCATCCAGTCCCTCTTCTGTCTTTTGACACCTTCCATCTGCTATGATCTGGTCTGTTCATCTCCCTTACCTTCTGTCTGCTCCAAACTGGTCTTCTGCTCGCCTCCCACACCTTTCATCTGCTGTGATATGGTCTTTTGTTCATCTCCCACACCTTCTTTCTGCTTCAAACTATTCTCCCGAGCTCAGACACACTCTGTCACCTCTTAATAAGAGGCTCCTGCTTGACTCACACAGTTTCTGTCTGGTTTCAAAAGGCTGTCTACTGGACTCCATCACCTTCCAAATCCTGTGATCTGGCCTCCTGCTTGGCTCTGGCACCATTGCTGTCCTCCAACAGGGTCTTCTGCTCGCATCCCACACCTTCTGTATCTTTTGACCAAGCCTCCTGCTTTACTCCCACACTTTCTGTCTCTTCCAAACAGGACTTTTGCTGGCCTCCAACACCTTCCATCTCCTCCAACCAGTCCTTCGGCCTGCCTCCAACACCATCTGTTTGCTCTGAACTTGTCTTATGCTTCACTCTTACTCCCTTTGTCTCAGCCTAATGAGCCTCCTGCTTGACTTCCACACTGTCTCCTTCCTCAAACCTGGCCTTCTGCTAGGTGCTCACTCATTCTTTCTGCCATGACCTGGCCTTCTATTTTTCTCCACTCCTTTCATTTGCCTTCACCAGGCCATTTGCTCCCCTCCCACACCCTCTGTGTCCTCCAAACAAGCCTCCTGCTTGACTCTCACACTTTTTCTCTCCTCCAGATAGGCTTTCTGATGGCCTCCAACACCTTCCATCTCCTCCAACCAGCCCTTCTGCTCACCTCCCATGCCTTCCCTCTGCAGTGACCAGGCCTTCTACTATTTCCCACACCTTCGGTCTCCTCTGACCAGGCTGCCCGCTCTGCTCTGTTCTTGCTTTACTCTTAGGCAGATGTCTTTCTGATTAGCCTTCAGTGAGTTGGATCTGGAACACCAGAAGCATGGAAAGGAAAATCCGTGGCTTTTCTACTAAAGGTCTTTTCCTTTTATATGATCTTATTTCCCTCTCTTTCTTTCTGAGGCACCAGTTTTTGAACTTGGTCAGACGTGTCTGCCATTGTGTTCTGTGCTGAGGAGTTTCAGATGCATATGTAACTGACATTCGAGAATGTCTTCTTTTCCACAATCCAGATAATCTTCCTCTCCATGCAAGTGACCAGCCCTTCAGGGAGTTTTAGTTTGGTTCTTTGGAGATATCATCCTGGGATAGCTGAGTTTGACTGGGCTGGTCCTCAGTGTTGTGCTCTGTGCAGCACTGGTGCCTGCTGGAACTCTGCAGGGTCTCTGTTGTTTGTGGTAGAGATTGTCCAGATGTGTCAGCATCAAGGGGCTGATTCTTGGGGGAATCATGTGGGGGCATGTGGCTGCAAGATACCACAGAAATGGCCACCAGTGTGGATTCAAGGAGACATTGCTTTTGAATGTCATCTTCTTCAGAAAAGTCCAAGACAATATCACTCAGGCTTAAAAGATCTTCCACCTCCGGTTGGTCAAGGTGATTGTCATGAATGGTTAAGTCACAGCTCGTGCTTCTGCCCCCCTCACCAAGGTTCTCTACTAGGTCACTGCATGAAGCATCATGATGCTCACTCAGCACACTCTCCCCGCTGTCGGGAATGGCAGTCTTCTCTGCGCCAGGGGTGTCGAAGGCTCTCTCTGTAGTATCATGCCTCACTGAAGATTCTCCAAAGAGGGAAGTGATTTCCTCTCCAAATATCCTACAGCAATTTGCAATCATAAACTGAATAAGCAGATTATTCTTTTTTATAAATTCATTTTCTAGCTCTAGGCTGAAGGAAGTTGGAGGCCAAAGCATGCTTGGAGCAATACACACTGCTAAATTAAATGCATTCATCTGATTGAATGAGGAGTGTTGTTCGATGTTGTGTAATACTCCAAAAAGGTACCGTAAGAGAGCAATATTGGCTCTCGGAAGCTGGTCTAACAGTCTTTGAATTTCATTTATTTTCTGTTCATCATTTTCTCGATCCATGATAGAGACCCAGTGATCAAAGAGATCTGATGACAAAACACTTCCAGGAATATGTTTTAGGAAATCTTTAAAAACAGATGCTATGACAAAAATAGACTCATGGTCTAGGTGGACTTCGACTCCAGAATCTAGTTTTTCTTTCAGCTCTCTGCAAGATTTCATGCTGGCTGACTGCCTAAATATTCCTTTGGTGAGGGGTCCTTTCTCATGAACACAAAAAAGCATATCCCAGACAGGTTTGGGCAGATTGTCCTGCCTGCAGAGATTTGGCAGAGACACTCCAAAGAGCTGCCCTGGCAAAGGAGAGGTTGGTGACATGGGCAACCTATCCAGGTGAGTGCTAGAGCTCCGCCCAAAAAGCCACTTGGTGATAGACCTTCTCCTTTGAAAGGTCTTCTGACCTGAGTCCCTTAGCTGCTGGGGCACAGCCAGGCATCTGGGCTTCAGGGTGAACTGGCACCGCATCTCCCGGGGCAGCTGTTCCATGAGGCAGAGCTCTTGGAGGTTGAGAGGGCTGGTGGTGTCCTCCGAACCTTGCATCGGGAGTGCAGTGTCTCGAAGATGGCTCATTTTAATTGCATAAGGACATTCATGCCCAATAAGTGGACATGATGCCTTTTCCTTGCCAGAATTGATCCATAACTGGTAATCTCTCTCAGAGCCAGTTATCCTTAGCATTGGTAGTGACATGTTGATAATGTCACTTGCTGTATCTGAATTCCTTATTCTGATGGTTTTGTAATAGGCACCATTCCCAATGTCTTTGGTGAAAATTTTGAGGGGAATGGTCTTCGGATGGTCCTTCTCTTTCTCTAGACTGATGTACCTCTGAAGGAGAAAGAGCCATTTGTCCTTCTGTTCTGGGGAACTGACAGTGGCCACAAAGTTGACTGTGGGCCAGCCCAGAACAAATGATCGGGAGGCATCGGTGTTGCCTCCTCCCACTTCCTTCACACAGCAGCTTGCTATCCACATGTCACTCAATTTTGTTTTACTTTTCACCTTCCACCTGTTGATATATGTGGTTTTGGCCACCACAAGCAGATCCTCGAACAGGAAAAGGTATCGCCCCCGTCTCTGCAGGCCTCTCTGGAGCTCTACCCGGCCCTCAAGGAGCAGAGTCCTGCTGGGGGACATGAGTGTGGATAGAAATGCACGTGTGTGCGGGATAGCGGAAGGCTTTTCGTGGGTACCAGGCCCTGTTGAGTGGGCTTTCCCCGGGGCAAGAGATGGAGCACGCCCCCTGCCTCCTGCTAGTGCTTCCATTTTCTTCAGGTCAGGTTGCTGGGAGCCCTGCTGGACACCACCAGCCCTGATGACCTGGAAGCTGATGCCTGGGGACCTTGGGGGAGACCCCGGTCAGGCACCTGGAGGGGCCCCGCCCCCCAGCCGGGGGAGGCGGGGCTGCCTGCCTACCTCGAGGTGGATAGAGAGGAGGACGAGGCTGCTGCTGGGTCCACTCAGAGAGTGGTGATGCTCAAATGCTCAAACTCGAACGAAGAGTGCACGGAGAGTCGCGGGGAGATCTGGGAGAAGGCAAAGGTGCTGGGGTGATCCAGGAGAGGCGGTTCAGGGTCTGGTCCTGAGGGCGGTTAGGGAGGGAAGTTCTAGAATTAGTACTGAGGGTCTGTCATTAAATCACCATGGCGACGGTGTCACTGGTCCACGTGCGAGGTGGGGGGTGAGCGGTTCGTTTGATGGCCTCGTGGGGCAGCTGGCGTCCTTACCTTCTTGCTGCGGGGCCTCTCTCTTGCAAACATAACCTTCGGGGGCAGGTGCTCAGCATCTCTCAGCTGCGGCGGGTCCTAGAAGTTAGCCATGTCCCAGCCTTTCATCTCCCATGGCCGGCTCATCAGCAGTGAGAGTGTAAGAGTTTTTGAACACCATCTCTGGATCCTGTGCATGTGGGGAGGACTCCAACATTGCTCTTTCCTTATTCCCAGACCCAGCAAATGCTGGATGCGCATCCCTGAGCCACTGCAGCAGCGCTGTGTGAAGCAGAGGACTGCGATCTGGCCACCAGTGCTTGATAATGCAAGTGGGCAGCACTCAGCCATAAGCCAGTATTTTAAATATTCCAAATATTCTATCCCATGTCCCAATATTTACTTATGGGTTTTTCAAGAATTCACTATAGGCATCAGAAGCTTCTGTCAGTCTAATCGTGGTGATTGCATTAAACATTGGAAAAGCTTTAAACCTGCCTATCAGATATAATCCAAAGAATGTCCCATTTGAAATGTGGATCTCATCCTGTAGAGAACCACTGGAGTCATCTACTGTCTATCAAGAGCAACTGAACTCTTTGTAGAAATCAGTCTTGCAGAGCAGTGGGGTGCCAGAGGTGGTTTAACTCCCCACGGGCATGAATTGGTACCCTAGAACCCTGGAAGACTTAATTCCCCTCATACAGTGAACAGGAATGCTAGAGAAGTATGCTTAGTTTATTTCAGACTAGATCAGGGGCATTCAGGGTGGTATGGCTGTAGACTGCTTAGTTATTTCAAAACAAAGCAGAATTAAGACAGAAAAGAAAAATAGCTTAAGTTTGTACTATCACACATATTCAAGTGAAAAGAAAAACGTCCTATTGCTAAGATGTCATTTATCTTCCACAGGTATTTTGGGAATTTGTAGTTTTTAAACTTAGTGTCTTTTTCGTCTGCTACATATGACAGGATCCCTGCTGTACCACAGTGACATGTTTGCAATTAACATAGGGCATTGAGACATTCCACAGTTATGGTGCTGTATGACAATTTCCAATAAGTACTTTTCTGTGTGAAATTCTATGAAAAGCAAAGAAAAAAGAATAAAACCATTGTATAATGTCCTGAGTTGCCTCAATCACACATGGCCATGGCCTGAAAAGTCACTATTTTCTTCATTCACTTGGGGAATAAGTACAGTTACAAACTGAGAGGGTACATGAGTTATCCACCAGTTTTCTTGAAAGTGAAAATAGGTTAAGAATGCATGTTAATGTCATAATATAGTACTATGCCAGTTGAAAACACATGTGGTTTTCAAACTTTTAATCTTATTAACTGTAGTGGAGTGACACTGTTTCATAACATTGTATAGGTTTCCAGTGTACAATTCTGCAATCTATTGTCTGAATATTGCATGTGTGTTCGACACTCAAAGTCAATTTCCCTTCAGTCACCATATATTTGACCCCCTTTACCCTATCTCCCCCTAACTTCCTTTCTCTCTGGAAACGCCCAATCTGCTCTGTCCCTGAGTTTTTGTTTGATTGTCTTGTTTGTTCATTTTTTGCTTTTAGATTTATATCCCACATAAGAGGGAAATCATAAGGGTCTTGACTTCTTCTGTCTACTTCACTTAGCACATTCCTCTCATGATCTATCCATGTTGCTGCAAATGGTAGTATTTCATCCAACATTTTTAAAGCCACAGAAAACCACTGGAGCAAGCAAGCAGCTATACTTGAACTGGATTTGGGGGGCCTAAGACCTACAAATTTGATCCTTGGTTAATCACCCAAGAGAAGACTGAGTGGTACCATTGAACAAATGGAGTTTCTAAACTTTTAGAATAACATCAGAATAAGTTGGTTTTCCAAATTCAACAAAAAGTGGTCATCCTACCTCTTCAATGTCCATAGCACTTGGATTTCCCATATGACATTCTGCATTACTCTTCAGTGTGAATATTCCACATCTTTTTCCACAAACAGGTCTGTGCTTGGTCATATTTATGTTCCCTGTGGCATTTTTACACATGAGGAGTGGGTGGTCAATAAATATGAATGAATTAATTAAAGTCTTAGGCTCTTTCACTGCTGCCAGATGCAGACTTGATTTTATGATAGCATTATAATCTCCTCCACTGAAAGCCAAATTTACCCAGCTAGAGCCTGAAGGAAGAGAAGGAATTCACAGCCAAGGAGGCAGGGGAAGGGTGTTGCTGTCAATTGAGACAGGCACTGTAAGAGTTTAAGACTGGAAAGAAAATAGAGAAATTTGAAAGTCAGTCAGAATGGCTGTAGCTTACATTGTGTCAGGGAGAGAAGTGGTAGACATAAAGCTTAGAGGAGTTAACATGGCTCTGGTACTGAAGTGCCTTTTATTTCATGTCAAGAGTTTTGCGTTTTATCCTAAAGTAACATGGAACCCTTTATTTGGCAGAGATATTTTCAGATTTGAAAGTCAAAGCGAAGAGTTGGACTATGGAACTCTTCTCTGGATTAGTAGAGAATATGGATCTCACTAAATTTGTTTTTGATGTTGTGGAGGGCTGGACCAGTAAAGTGGCATTGGTCCAGTCACGACAGGACAAAGTATGTAAAACAAAATGGAGTCACTCATGTCAACCAACATGGCTTCCAGTCAGCCATGACACTTTGGTTCAGGAAGGAAACTACCTAAGTCAGACTAGACACATCTGGCAAGAAGACACACTTAAGATATCTGCAGGTGTGATCTGAACAGCCATATCTGCAAAGCGGGACCACGCAGAGACAGGCTCCCGGGGAAATCCCCACTTGCCATCAAAGTGCCAAGACAATTATCAAGAGACCCAGAAGGGTCGAGCATGCCACTTTCAAGGTGTAACTGAGGCAGGCTCCAGACCATCACTGGGACAGCTGAGCTCCACATAAAAAGATGCTGCTCCATGCCATGCTGTTTCCTTTGGCATCAGCTGACAGAGGCTCTGCCCTGCTGACTGAAGACTTTGCCTCCCCTGCTGCCCACCTGGCTCCACAGATCCCTCCTTGCAAGTCTCTGACAAGTCTCCTGCCTGTTGTGCTCTCTCCCATACCTGCAGACTGAGACTCTGGGACTCAGGTTCATTATTCTCCACTGCTTGTTGTGTGTGTGTCTGTGTGTGATATTTCTCTTAGGTTTTTAGAATATGACTAGGATATTAATGTATGTTGATGTTCTACTTTGAGGGAACCTGCATTCAATAAAACCTGAATGAATAGCATAGTTACCTTGTGTGACTCATCTATTTCTTGGTGCCGGACTGCCCAGCAAGCAGCTAACCAAGCAGGTGCCTGATTCACTATAGAAAAGAATATATTGGGAAAATACGCTCATGACAACATTAAACAGTGGTGACTAGATCTATGAAATATTACATTTAAGTATATTTCAATGTTAGATTAATTCAGTTTGGTGCTGGAGTCCAAATAGACAAAGACATGATACAAAGTATAAAGTCCCAAATACAGTGCCATTCACAAATACTTCCATAATGAATAATACTAATGAAAGTAAAATCATTAAGAAAAAACGTGTTTTTCAATAAGTGGTCCTATTATAACTGGATAACATCTGGACAAACTACAACAAAACAAAATAAAAGCAAAGTAAGATCTCTATATCACTTCTTACTCCATAATACTAAAACTAGATTTAGCAAAGATTTAGTCATGACAATAAATAAAATACACAAAAGTCTTCATTTAACAAAAGATTTGCTACACGTCACCCCAAATCCAGAGGCTACAAAAGACAATACTGATAAAAAGAATAAATATCAGCAATTTGTGCATGTCAAAACATGTTAAACAAATTCCAAGATAAACAGCAACTGATGATAAATGAGATACATTACAAAAATTGTATTTTCTTAACAAAGGACTTCAAAATTGGTAAAACACAAAAATAACCAGAAGTCAATGAAGAAAATGAGTCAACAGGGGACTGCAGTTGAAGAGACTGAAGTGCCTTTTACACCTATGCGTTATGCTCCATTACACACATATGAAAAAAAATAATTTAAAATATAAATTACAGTCTTTAAGCATTCATATGGGTAAAAATTAAAAAGTTCCATTTGGTAATAATATATAAAAATAAGAACTACTAACATATTTTGGGTGAAATCATGAATTCCTACTATATTAAAAGTTGTTCTAGAGCCTCTACCTATGAAAATAATACTCATACCATTGACCTTTAATGTTAGAACGTACCCAAAGATATGCTTGCAAGGATAAGTGTTTTACTTATTGCCACTAATTGTTGTGCAAAATATCGGTAATATCCCATCAAAAAGAGTTATTTTACAATTAGATCCCTATGTGATTGCTTGTGGGAAAGAGGATTTGGGTTTAGGATTCAGAGCTGGAAAAGACACTTCCTTATATTCCTCCTCTAGTTGTCTGATGTTACACTAAGTGTACATGTTATTTTTTGAAATCCACACACACACACACTTAAGATAATGCTGGTAAAGAAAAATGATTTGAAAGAAAAGTGAAGAGTGGAAAAGCATGATAGTCAATAGTGAGT